GCGGAGGAGAGCGCGCCGCTGCCTCGGGACGCCCTGGCCCCAGCGCGCGCCACGCCTGCGGGCGGCGGTTCTGCCCTAAAGGTAACGACGCCTTTTCCTTCGCCGAGTTTCCCAGAGACCGCCCTGGGTTGACGCCCACAGAACAAGCAGGAACGTCTGGGGGTTTCCCATCCACCAGGACTTAAGCTACGAGAAAAGCGTTGGGCCTGCACTCTCTAGGGAGAGTCCCGGTGTCAAATCGGTCACAAGAGGATCTCAGCGATTTGTCTCGTCTTTGTGTTATTTGTTGGTATTTTGGTTTTGGGTGGTCTTTGTATTCTTGGTTTTTTGGGTGCTGGCTGTGCTTCCCTTGTTCTCAAACCGTACAGGCCACATAGTAGGCACTAATTATTCATGAAATAAGCAGCCTGTCACTGTTGCAGCAGGACCAGCTCATCACAGCTCCTGCCTTTCCCGGACCCACTGCCACACCCACACCAGCTCAGAAACCAGAGAAACCCAGGTTGCCCAGTGAATGTTTTAATTTGCAAGTTGAAAAATTGTTCTCGCAAATAACATTTACCATTTATAAGCACATTCACCAAATATTTCAAAAAAGAAAAATAATCACATGCATTCCCCACTACCACAAAACAGTCTAGTTAATATTTAGGGGTATAATTTTTCAGACTTTCGGGTTAAAAAAAACAACCAACCAGGAACTTCTTTCTGCTAACTAAAATTCTAAAAAGATATATTGACGTCTTTGATCATTGAAAATTGTTAGTGGAACCTGAGATTTTTTGGAACAGAGGACATTCCAAGATTTATTGCAAGATTTTTTGGAACAGAGGACATTCCAAGTTCAAAGATTTTTTGCATATGTAATATGTACTAGAGAGCATGTTAGGCTTTGGAAATTAAAATTGATTGAAACATAGTTTCCTCTTTCAAACTGCGTGTAGTCCACTGGGGGAGAGATTTAATACCTGTGGCGGAGGTGTGCACAAGCTGTTCTGGGGCAGCACCCAGTCCAGGGTGGGACAGGCGCCGTGGGGGAGGGAGCTGTAAGGAGAGAGAGAACAGGTTTTTATGTGTGTCATTAAAATTGTCCTGAAAGCGGTAGATAGAAATAGAATTGTATAAGTGAAGGGCCTTTTTTGTTATGTACTACACATTAGATACTTATTTCTCATATTTCCAGATTGGAATTTTATCTTTTGTACTTTTAAAGTTCTTCCTATCCCCGCCCCCCGCCACACACACGCGCACATTCTGCAGTACAGAGGTGGTGCGTGTTCCATAAAGTGCTCTAAATACTAATGAAACAACAAGTGTTAATTAGCATTTATGGGAGGAAGTTCATATTGTCCTCTTTTGCAAACAGTGAAGCTTCCATACATCTGGATAAAGACATATTTGATTTCAGGCATCTCCTTTACTCACCTGTCTTCTGTGCTGAATGTTTTCTCTCTTTCTTCTAGTCTAAGAGGCAGAAGAGCCCTGGCCAGTGTGGCTCAGTTGTTAGGGCATCGTCCTAAACACCAAAGGGTCTCGGGTTTGATTCCTGGTCAGGGCACATACCCAGGGTGTGGATTCAGTCCCCAGTTGGGGCACATGCGTGAGGCAACCAGTCGATCCTTCCTCTCTCTTCCCTTCCCCTTCCCCTTCCCCTTCCCCTTCCCCTTCCCCTT